ACCTCAGCCTCCCAAAGGCGCGGGATTACAGGCTGAGCCACTGAGCCCGGCTATATTTTACTCTTAAAGTAAACAATAATGAGTGATCCAAAGTAAGAATGTCCATAGTTTGTTCCTTGGAAGTCTAGTGGTTCTCTGTGAAGGTGGCTGAAGGGCTACCTGTGAAGGGATAAGAGCCTGAGAGATTGAACTCTTGACTAGTTTTACTTTTACTTGTTTGACTGCCTGTACACTGAGGGCTGTAGTCAAAACCTGGCCTGAAATCTATACTCACATGCCCAATTCCTCAACAACATCACACCAAACTCATGATCCCTCAAATCATCTCAGCTTACCTTTCCTTGCTTCCTTATCTTTACTGAATGGTAATGTTATTCTTTCAGATGATCAAACTCAAAATTCTTGAGTCATACTCGACTTTCTTTCCCTCACATCCTGCATCCAATCCATTAGTAAATCCTTTAGACTCTTCCTTTAAAATATATTCCAGATCCTTTGAATTATCAACTCTACAACTGAGTCCCTAGTCTAAGCATTATTGCAATGACATCTCAAATAGTATCCCCATTTCTACTTTATCCCCTTTATTCTATTATATTCACAGCAGTAAGGGTATTATTATTATTTTAGCCAGTAAAATAATTTCTCTCTTTCTTCTTCCCTCCCTCCCTCCCTCCCTGTCTCCCTTCCTTCCTTCCTTCCTTCCTTCCTTCCTTCCTTCCTTCCTTCCTTCCTTCCTTCCTTCCTTGTATTACTTGTAACAATAAACCATAACTTGTAGCTCCTCTGCTCAAAACTTATACTGGCTTCCCATCTCTCTTAGAGGAAAACCAAAGGCTCCACTCTGTTTTAAAGCCCTATCTAATCATATGTTGTTGTTTCTACTCTGATCTTGTTTCCCCATTATTAGCTCAATTCTGCTCACTGAAACCTCCTTGTAGACACTCAAGTACTCCAAGCATGTGCCTGCCAAAGGAGCTGTCTGATATCAGAATGACTATACCTGCCCTATTCTGTTTTCTGTTCATCTTAAAGATTTTTTCCCCAATCTCCAATGTTGAGCCTGCAGGAGTCCTTTGCAGTGAGATGAGCCTCCTGGAGGCAGCAAACTATGACACCATTCTTCCTTATCCAGTATGCCACTCTGTGTCTCTTCAATGGCCCATTTAGTCTATTCACATTCAAATTCATTATTGAAATGTGAGAGTTTATTCCTGTCATAGAGCTCTTAGGGGGTTGCTTTGTTTCCTTTTTAATTTTTGTATTTATATGTGTGTGTGTTTTCATTTTTGTGAATGCTCTGTTAAATCTGTGTTTGCCTGTACTTTTGTGGTGTGTATGACCATTCTTTTTTTCTTTGTTTTTTTCTGTGTTCAATACCTTCTTAAGCATCTCCTGAAAGACTGGTTTGGAGGTGGCATATTCTCTTAGGGACTGGATATTTGGGAATGATTTCAGTTTTCCATCACTGATGAAACTTAGCTTGGCAGGGTAGGAAATTCTTGGTTAGAATTGTTTATCTTTAAGAATGTTAAAAATGAAACTCCAGTCCCTTCTGGCTTGTATTGTTTCTGCAGATAAGTCTGGAGCAATTCTGATGAATTTTCCCTAGTAGGTAGGCTGACCTTTCTCTCTCACTGCCTTTAGAATTTTTTTCTTTCATGCTTGTTTCATGCTTGTTTATATTTCTATGTGCCTTGGGGATGGTCTTCTCATATGACACCTTGCAAGAGTTCTCTGAATTTCTTATGCTTGGATGGCCTCCTGTCTTGCAAACTATGGGACATTTTCTTGAATGACCTTATAGAATACTTGTTCCATGGTGTTCTGTTTTTATTTCTGTTTCAGCCATACCAGTCAGGCATAGATTTGACTTCCTGACATAGTCCCACATCTCTCAGAGGCTCTGTTCCTTCTTTTTGAACTTTTTTCCTCTGTGTTTTTTGACAGACTAGGTTAATTCGATATTTTAGTCTTCAAGCTCTGAGATTCTTTCCTCTGCCTGGTTGACCCTACTTTCAATACTTTTTACTGTTCTCTTAATTTCTAGGATGAAGTTTTTCATTTCCATTATTTCAGAAAAAGCTTTTCTTGAAATTGGCCAGATTGGGTTTTACTTCCTATATGACTTCAGTGAGTTTTGCTTCTAGTTTCTCTTGGTTTCTGTTCATATTTGCCACCCAATCTCTAATTTCTGTAGCTGCCATCCAGGGCAGGACATTCTGGGGGATTTCTGTTATGCTCGACAGCTACCTTTTTGGGCATTGTCTCTTTGGGACTCTGAGGGCTACCTATATTTTTCTGTTGATTTTTCCTCATTTGTAACAGGCCTCTCTCGGCTCTCTATAATTCCTCTACTGATTTGTTGATCTGAAGGTAATCAATTACTCTCTGTTCTGGGGACTTTTCTGTCACTCGGTGAGAGAGGGAGGAACATTCACTTCTGTTCCTCCTCTAACTGTTTCTGTGTATTTTTTTCCTGGTGCTAAACTGGTCAGACCAGTTTTCAACTCCTGCTATTTGCACTTGGAGAGCAAATGAGAGGGTGGATCTCCCATCTGCTGTCTGCAGTTGCTTCATGTTGTTCCCTTCTTGTTCAGGTCTTCACTTTGCTCTTGAAGTAGAGCAAGTTGTCTTCCATGGAGGAGGGGGCAGGCTCCACCCTGTAGAAACCCTGTTTCTTCCTGATCTGGTTGGTGGGCTGGCCACTAGCCACTGGCAATGCACATCAGCCAGGTTTACCCTGCAGGTGGGCCCTCCCTACTGATGTGTCACAAGCCCAGTAGGAGGCCAAGCTCACCGAGGCTGACCTAGCTCATGATTTTTTTCCTGTTCCACTTGGGTTGCAGTTGACTGCACTATGCCCTGCCCAGGACTTCTCCCACATGGGACCAATTACCTGCTCAAAAGGAGTGAACTGTACCAAAGTGTCATTGACTCATTCACCTACTTTCATTTGCTAGATAGGACTTCAGGTCTTGTGTGAGCCTGGCACATGGAGGATGGGGCACCTGGCTTCCAGCATCTGCTGTCACTTTCTCATCAATATGTGTTCAAAGGGACCTTTGCTGGATACAGGTTGTTTCATCCATCCAAAAATGTTTGTAATTCCTACACTATTGATTGTTGATTACCTACTCTCTGCTTTGCTCAGAAAGAAAGGTCTCAGTCTGCTGTTGCACAGTGGCCATCTTTGATCCTTTTCCCCAAAGGAACTTTCAATGCCTGGTTGCTTTGCCTGGAATATTCTTCTTCCAAGACATTTGTTGCTTCTCGCTTCTGCTCTTTGTTCAAATGTCAGCTTATCCAAGAGAACCTCTCTGTCCACTAATTTAAAATGGCTTCCCCATATTCCTAGAAAACTTTCTCTGCTTTGTTTCTTCATAGTTCTTACCACATCCTATCATAATGTGTTTATTGATAAATTGATTTATTGCCTGTATCACCACATAACTTAAAATGTTAAATTGATGAGAACCTGTATGTTTTGTTCAAGGCCTACAATAGTGCCCAAAATATAATAAATGCTCAATAAATATTTGATGAATGAGTAAATCAAGATTCTACTTAAGATTATTTTTAAAGAAGTATCTTGCTGCCTAAGAAAGATTAGAAAGATTAGAAAGATAGAAAGAAGATTAGAAAGAAAAAAACCTAATGAAAAGCTCTAACATATATACAAGTTTTATATATATATATATATATATATATACATATATATAATATATCCAAGTTTGTATAATATATACAAGTTTTAAAATGCCAGCTATGTATACTTACTTAATTTTAGCAGACTTTGTAAATACTCATTATTAGCACAGGCAGGATATGTACAATTATAAACCAACTTTTAACACATACAGGAGAGTAAACAGAGTAAATGCCTTATGCCTTTTGACTTTCCAGTGGTTTAAATGAGAATTTTCCAAATGTTACTCTGTTCATCCGCAGCAGGTGTACAGGTATCAAAGATATCAAGCACATAGCAAAGACCTAGTAAATGTTAGCTATTGCTATTTGTATACATAATTCATTTTTCCATGCACATGTTGTTGTTTTTATTCTTTTTAGGTATTGGCGATATAGTGAAGAAATGAAAACCATGGACCCTGGCTATCCCAAGCCAATCACAGTCTGGAAAGGGATCCCTGACTCTCCTCAGGGAGCATTTGTGCACAAAGAAAATGGTATGCAACACGTGCAATATACAGTTCATAGGTTTGCTATCTATGTTAATACCACATTAGACTTTTTCACTGTGTTAAATTAAATCATTGGAAAGTTCCATACTAGAGCTATATAATATTATATCTGTATTTACAGTAGCTTTTCTTCCCAGATTTACATTAAATATTAGCTGTAGACATTTTTTAACCTCAGTTTGTTTTAGTTTATTTTAAAAATCATTTTTAAATGGAGGAAATATTTTAATATGGAGGTTGTGGATAACTTTGGAGTAACCACATCTATATTTCAGTTTAAATTCCTGTAAATATAATAATAAACATACACAGGGAAGCTATAAATTCAGACTGAGGAACAAAGATGCTGGTATTATGCATGTTGAGGATTATAATTTTTCATGTGTTCTTTGGTTTAAGATGTCAGTAAACAAGGAAGACCCCAGATCCATACAGTCAGACTAGAGTGGATACATGCAGGCTTAATAGTAAGAAACAAATCTGACAGTTGCCTACTTTATTTACTCTTTATCTCAGGATTTGAGATTCAGCTAAATCCTGAATGGAAAGTTAGTTAAGCCATGGATAATCAATACTCCCTTATCTATTGTTGTAAGTAAAATGTGAGCCTATCTCCTCTCATGCAGAGATTACTAAGTAGAAATAAATAATATTAATTTGGAATAGAATTTATACACAATATTTCAGAACAAAGGAAAAAGACATCATTCTGAAATACAGAGGAAAAACTTTAGCAAATAATTTACAATAGGAATAATAAGAAAATAGTATATTGTATATCTTTTCAATAGCATTAAAAGTCTGTAACATATAGTCAACAAGAGCAAAAATAAGCGTCTTTTGCAAGAACAAAATTAGGTGTATCTAGAAGCAAGAAAGAGAAAAAAGGTTACTAAAGATATGGGAGAAAATGAAGAATCACAACACCACTGAAAACAATGATTGACTGTCAGCATATCGCAAGTTTAAGAAAACTTGACACTGAGTATAAACTTGAAGGAACTGTGAACCAAGATGAATGAATGCCAATCAGAAAAATCAAAGCATAAGATGAAAAAAATAATTAAGACATTTAATTTTGTTCTTATGCTATAGAAACATAATTAACAAAATACTATCAATTTCCACCTCTATGAAAATTTATACCTACTCAATTTTATGTGTTGTACAAAATAGGACTGAGAATGCCAAGATCCTATTTCCCCAGAAGTTCCCCACTGTCTTTCTACCTCAAGGTTAAATTTAATAAGGAGAAAAATGATTTCCTTATAAATATAATCTAATAATTTCTTTTCATATAGTGATGAAAACTTTCTAAAATACAAAAAAAAAAAAAAGAACTTTGGGAAAGCAATGCTTACAAATGACTAAAAACTAGAGTTAAAACTTTAACACATCTCATGGTTTCTGGACCTTTCCTGGGTAAGCAACCCCCTTTCCCCCCAGTTCACTCTTCATCTTTCAGGAAATCTTTTATAGTACTCTATTTCTTGCCCTCAAAATCTTGTATTACAATGTCTAGTGTATATGTCCTTTGTCCCCTCTAATGTAAGTTCTTTGAGGGCAGCTATATAGTAACAGTCAGTACATACTAGTTGTTGAAAATAATTTTATCCTTTCCACTTTTCTAAAAATTCACCCCTGAAGTGGAGGGGATATTTTATTTGTCTGAAATTCTTGTCTTATAGAAGAACAGTACCAACCAGTCTGGAACATGTGTCTCCATAGTCTACTGTCAGCAAATTCTCCACTTCTCATTGTCTCTCAGATCTCATGCTTGTATACTCTCACCTTAAACTTATATTTTACACATATCTTCTTTTGTGCTTGTATAAAAAAGAAAAGAAAGATTAAATATGTTAAGTAAACACACTTATATTTGTAAATTATTTTTTACTTAAAATAATTCCCATCATGCTGATCATATGACCATCATAAAATTAGAGATGATAGAGAACTGAAGTATTTTTTATGGTTCTCTGTCATTGTAGGAATCCACCATTGTAGAAATTTTCTGCTAATGGTAATTTAAGAGAAAAAAAAACCTACAAGTTTAAAATTCAGCTATAGGTTTTTGAAGGATATTTTATGTGTTGGGGTAAAATATGCTTTTTATAATGTCTATCTATTGATAGCAATTCTTTTGTCTTGACCAATGAAATATGACTATCTGGTGCCATTTTGAGAGCCTACCCTGTGTCTGTCAGGTGTGTTACATAAATTCATTATCTAAGTTAATTTCCCTACACAAATACCTCTTTACAAACAAACACTCTATTAATTTAAGTAACTTTCTTATGATGATAAAATTAGTAAGAGATGTGTCTAATGTTTGAAACCAGAACATTCTAGCCCCAATGACTGATCTAACACACCTCCTCCAAAGAGGAAATGCTAACATATTTTCTTACATTATATTGTTAAAGTAATTGACAGGTTAAATTTTGTATGTGATCCTACTAGGCAAGTTAAAACTTTTTCAGAAGGTAGCTTCCTGAGCCATCCTCCTCCTGGTTTTCACCCATAACTAACATTTATTTGTCCTTCTATTTTGCCTTTTTTCCTTTTAGCCTACCCCCTCCATCCCAAATAACTACAGTCATCCAAATGCAATTTAACTCATACAGAATATGATAGAATGGTTTAGCATTTGTTACTCAGTAATGGTTTTTAAGCATGGATTTTGAACTACACTAAAATTGTGGTAGAGATGACTCTCCCCCTCAGATTGTTTTTGCTGCCAAGCCATATCTCTCAGGTGTTCTATATTCTCTACAAATGCATTTTTAAGATAAATTCAAGAGTCTACTTCTAACACTGTTGTATTTTATTTTATTGACTGCAACGCCACTTTTAGCCTGTTAAACTCATGTTGACTCTTGATTATATTTTTCTGGTATATCACTTGTATACTCAGCTTGTTAAAACCTATACATTTAATTTAAACAAATATTTCCATAAGATTCAGTTTATTTATTCACATGTAGTAAACACTAATTTCTTACTAATAAACATGTTAAAGTAGAAAATAGAATACGGAAGCACTACTATCAAGGAGCATCTACTGAGCTATAATGGATATCTATGATGGATTATGCTTCATTACATTTTTACAATAAACCAGTAGAAAAGTCACTAGCAAAGTTCAGTCAAATATAAGAGAAAACAATAGTCAAATAATTCACTGCAGCCTCATTGATTTATTTCTCAGAATTTTTCAAGAAAACTGAAAATTTAGGTAAGAATTCACTAAAGTGACATTTCTTCGAAAGCATAACATATACAAAAATATAATGTCAAAGCTGCTTTTAAAAAGGAAAATTAAGTACAAATATCCCAATATTTCTTCAACCAGCTGACATTTCTCAAGTGAAAAAAAACTCCTAAATTATTGGACAAGATAAACTTTGCAGGAACGAAGTTTGACATATTTCTATTACCAAGATTTCAGGCTATTTCCTTTCAAATGTTTACAAGATTTAAATTCTAGTTACTAGACTTCTTATTTGTAGCAAGTGCATTCGGTAACTAATGTTCTATAAAATTTGGCCTTCAGAGTGGTTTAGTATGAAAATGGGAACTTCTTAACTTTTGTATAATGCCCAATAGTTTTATAATAATTAGCTTTGGCTAAAAAATTAAAGATGAGGACACTTCCAACTGTTCATTTCTAGTTTATAAACATAAGAAGTACGTTCACCTATTTTGAAGGTCTGTTTAATTCTAGATCAGTGTCATTATTCAAATATGATTGTCTAATGTACTATTATTTGGCAGGACTTCAACATTACTTCATCCAAGCTTATTGAGTAATTACATTGAATTTCATTAACTGATCAAATACCAGCTCCCTGCAGAAAAACCTGAATCTACATACACCTGTTTTCACTTGGCAAGTTGCTCTAATTGCAAAACTGTCCTTTGAAACTAAAAGCAATAGCAGATTTTTGTGGAGCTGAACAGAATGATTTCCAAAATGAAGTGATCTGAAATGATGATGTGTTCTATCTGAATTTTTTTTTTTTTTTTTCAAACTGCTGGGCTCCAGCAATCCTTCTACCTCAGCCTTCCAAGTAGTTGGAACTATAGGTGCGGGCTACCATGCCTGGCAGATTTTTTACTTATTGTAGAGAGAAGTTCTCACCAAGTTGCCTGGGCTGGTCTCAAACCTGTGGGCTCAGGCCATCCACTCACCTCAGCCTCCCAAGTGCTAGGATTACAGTCTGAGCCACCGAGCCCAGCCTTTTTTAAAGTTTTAAAACAAAGTGTAGGGCAACCCCTTCAGGTCCCCTTCAACTGTGGAAGCTTTTCTGTCCTCTCAATAACTCCTGCTTTAAAAAAAAGTGTATTAGAGAAAGAAGGAGAAAAAGAAAGGGAGACATGCCAGAGTTGGTATGGGAAAAAGAAACTGCCTCTATCTGAAATTTTTGGGGAGATCCATCTATTACAGCCCTGGATGATTAACCAGGAAGTACTGTACCTCATAAAATGCAAGGACTCTCTAAAGGACCCAGTCTTAGAAATTCATTGTGTCCAGACACTAGATTTAGACCAAGACTTAAATAAGTGTTCACTAGGATTTGAGCATACTGTTTTATCACTAAGCCTTAATACCTTTGCCTGAAGTGAATAGATAATGCATTCTACCTAACAGAATAGTTGTGAGAATTAAAAAAGAGGACATCTGCTAACTTTAACACAATGTCTCTTCCATAATAAGTTCTCGATAAAATAGAAAAAAATAACCCTCACTAATGATTATGAACTCTAAATGATGTGTTCTATCCAAAACAGATAACTCCCAAAATGTGGGTTTTATGTGATCATAGTATTAAAACATTTCTTCTTTTTTTGTAAATTTAATCTTAAAGCAACAATTAAGTCCAAGTATTATAGTGACAAAGAAACTTGACATGAATGAGCCATAGACAGAAAGAAAAAAAAACTAGACATGTGCCCAACAAAAGCATAAAGTTTGGAGATATTCCTAAGAAAAATACACATATTTGTAGCTTAATTGCCAGGAGCTTACAAAGTTTGTCTGCAATCATAATATATTGGAACATATGTATTGCTGAGTTATTTGAGTCTCTGACATACCACTTTCTCCCCTATGGAATATAAGTTACTCAGATAATAAGGTAGAATTGTAGATTTGTTCATATTAAAAGAAGTACAATGGCTTTGAAATTTCTGTAAAATATTGCTAGGTAACATAAATTTAACATAAACTAAAATAAACTTTAAAAAGTTAAATAAAGATGGCAAAAGGAGAAGGGATAAAAAGACTCATGATCTAGAGCCAGAAATGAGGTTAGAGCAGAAAATACTATAAATATCTAATGTCAAAATCCCTAAAAGACAAATTACAATACCTTCAGTTTTATGATTTATGTTTTATTTTGATTTCTGGAATGACAAAAGGAAATGTATTGTTTAGGAGGAGCACAATGATTCTACCAAGATGATTAGACATTTCCCTTGAGATGTTTCATGGAGAAATCTCTTTATAATGTATTGGGTAAAGTCCTCAATAACAGCCTGGGAATAAACAGTGTTTCATATTGTAAGACTGTTTCAGCATCTTTCAATATAAATTGATATTATCATGGCAATGTGTAATTCTGCAACAATAATCTTATAACCAAGCAAAAGGCTAAACTTCTATTTCTAGTATGGAGTAGATGTGTATGATACAGTTTTTCAGTAATATCTGTAGATACTATATTTCTCTCTAGACTGAGCTTTCCACAGATATTTTAGAGGGCACTGTTCCTGGAGCACTGTAACCAGAGCCTTTTAAAAAGCTGAGATGAGAATAGTGTTTTCTTTCTTTGAAAACTAAAGGACCTTAAAATACTTCTTTTAAGACATAGCTTTTTTAAATTAGCATGTCTTTACATATACACTTTCACAAATAAGCAGTACCTGTGTGTGTGTGTTTCCCCTCTAGGCTTTACATATTTCTACAAAGGAAAGGAATATTGGAAATTCAACAACCAGATACTCAAAGTAGAGCCTGGATATCCAAGATCCATCCTCAAGGATTTTATGGGCTGTGATGGACCAACAGACAGAGTTAAAGAAGGACACAGCCCACCAGATGATGTAGACATTGTCATCAAACTAGACAACACAGCCAGCACTGTGAAAGCCATAGCTATTGTCATTCCCTGCATCTTGGCCTTATGCCTCCTTGTATTGGTTTACACTGTGTTCCAGTTCAAGAGGAAAGGAACACCCCGCCACATACTGTACTGTAAACGCTCTATGCAAGAGTGGGTGTGATGTAGGGTTTTTTTCTTTCTTTCTTTTCCAGGAGTTTGTGGTAACTTGAGATTCAAGACAAGAGCTGTTATGCTGTTTCCTAGCTAGGAGCAGGCTTGTGGCAGCCTGATTCAGGGCTGACCTTTCAAACCCAGAGGGTTGCTGGTCCTGCACATGAGTGAAAATACACTCATGGGGAAGCTTCCATGATGCACAGTATCTGCTGTTCTTCAGTCCTTTGTCTTTCTTTGTCATTCAGTTCTAGGCCTTTCCTCTGCACGCTCAATGCCCAGTAAAATTTCAGGATTAACTAAAGAAGAGGAAAAAAGAAGAAGAAAAGATTCTTCTAAAAGGTTTCTAATACCATTTTACTTCTGAAGTCTGAGCCCATTTCTGGGGGGAAAAGGCAAATCAGAATACCCATGATTTTTTGCTTTAAAGCAAAGGGAAAAAAGTTTAAACAGAAAACCCACAATTGAACTTTCAGGAAAGTGTGAAGACCCAAAACAGCTTTGTCTCCAAAGAAGATAGCTCTCTGACTGCTATGGATAGTCTCCTACTCATCATTTTGTCAGGTGGGAGATTTGGAAAAACATGCAGGACTTTAGACTGTTGGGACAGCCATTTTCCAACAACCAAGGGGCCAAAATATCTGCAATATAGTAACAGCCTTAATAATACATCCATTTTTCATTTTATACAGCTGTTCTCAGCTATGTCCTCAATGTTTCATCACATTTATATTCATAGCTATTTTCAAACAGGACCTTTTAATTGTTTTGAAGTGTTTCTAAACCTCTTTTTGCCACCTTACCCCTCCATCATTGTGATAATCTTCCCAAATTGTATTAGGCCATTGCCCCAGGCCTTCCATGGGTCTGTCAGGAATATTCATTACAAAGCAGAAGAGGAAGCAGTATGTCTCTGAAGTGGATTAAAGTGACAGTTATTTTACAAGGATTTGTGACTCTAGTAATACATTGGTGTAACCCTTTGAGAACTATCAGACCAGCTTCCAGAGTCTTAGGATTGTCAGTCTTGCTATATGATAAATTAAAGAACTGGGCAATGGTAAAAAACAGTCATATCTTCAAGAAGTTCAGGTTTTTAAAACAGATCTCCCATCATCTCATGTAATTTTTTAATTATTTACATTACTACATAAATGCATTTATAACAAACAGGAATTATGTTACTTGCCAAAAATTTTCTGGCAAATATGAGTATTTTATTAGGTAGCTCTTAAGAGTGAAATTTTGTTTTGGACAACTGGTTATAACAGCCTAAGTCTTTTATTTTAGCTTTTAGACGTATTGAACTTCTGTTTTAAAATCCATTGCATGAAAATTCAATTTGCCTTGGTATATGCAGTTAGCATCACCATTTTAAAAATGAATTAAATGATGACTCTGAGGTTGCATGAATATCCTCCGATGCATTACCTATTGCATGTCCACCATAGTTCTCAAAGGGTTCATGTGGCTTCTGGCATTTAGCCATGCATCTGATCACTGACAGAGCCAAGAGACCACCAAAGCATTTCATTGTTGAGTGTAATTTGTCGTAACAGCAGTATTGTCATTTTCATGTGACCTGCAAAGCAGGTTTGTATCAATATTTTTTTCCTAGAGAAAAGTCAGCAACTGACAGACCTCTTTATTGATTTTTAGGAGCTGCTTCTTGCAGTGAAAGGTTTTACAGCCACTGGGCTGTGAACTTATTAGAGATGGTCAGAATGAATGCACCCCATGAGTCAGACATTGGCTTTGTGTGAAAGCCAGCTTTGAGGGGATTAGCTTTTGAAACAATGAACAGCTTGCCTTGAACTTGATTATTGATCTATTGACTGTCATTAACAACAACTTAAACATTGTCTTCTGTGAAATTTTTCCTTGAAGAGTCCTGTTCTATGTCTTTGCCCTTTGACCTTTAACTTGCAAACTGGCACAAACCGAAGGAAATCTGGCGTTGGTTCTCCATTGGATTGTTAATTGTTCTCTAAAACCTAGTAAGCATGAGCTGTTTCCGTAGAGTGGAGAGAGAACGAGTGTTGATGGCGGATCTGAAGATGGACACTTTGCTCTTTACATGCACACTCTAAAAATGCCCTATAGGTAGAAGTAAATTTTAATTTCCTTTTAATATAATTTCCAGTCTAAATTCATCATTTTAGTACAAATTACAAAACTATAGGGAAAATAAAAACCTCAAATACTTGAATGGCCAGTGTGGCTTTTATATAAAAGCAGGAATTTTATACTAGTGAAAATTTCTTACTCATTTGCTAATAATACACATTTCCAGATGATTTTTAATGAGTGTAGGTATACATTCTTATTTGGAAATGGATAGTTTGGCTGCCTTGAATTTATATTTATACTCAACATAGCATGGAAATTAGAATGCTTTTTGGTTAAAATACACGTTTATGATTTGGTTAGGGAAAATATTTTATAATTGTGGGTGGCATGCTACAAAGCCTTGCAGACTGTTATTTCTTAAAACCTGAACATATATACTGTAAGGCTAAGAAAAAAAATAGTCAGAAAAGAAGAATGCTTTACAGTAAAACAGTATACAATGTAGACTGCATTTTGACAAGAGATTATGTATGTACAGGCCAAGAAAGCAAGGAAAGAGGACCAGAATCAGCCCTGTAGTTTTACTCCAGTGCTTTCATTCTAGATGATGTCAATATTACAAAGGGCTAGTCACTGCTGCCAAGCATGGAGGACTATACACATATATAGTGTTTGCTTGTGGGAGGGTTTAATCCTTTTAAGGCCTTGATGTCAAGAAAAAAATAACTGGAAACTATATATTGCTTAAGATAGAAATGAGGAACTGTGTCATTTTGGGACATGTGCAAATCATTGAAGAACTCCATCAACCTGCATTGAAAATGGATTTTTCCTCTAAAATGAGAAAGAAACTGAATAAGCAATCTATTGCCTCTTTACTCATTCATCACAATATCCTGATTTGTCATAAGACTATAAGAATATAAGGGCTAGAAAATAATCATAGCATTGGAAAAGAGGTTTGTCATTATGCTTGAAAGATGGCAAATGTCATAGAGAAAGGTTGGGTCATATTTACTTGAGTATGAGATAAGGTTTAATTGATAAATAAAGGTATATGTGCTCTTGACTAAGACATAAATTATCAGGCTGTAAGAGTACAAGAGATAAGAAAACAATGAGTACAATGTAATCAGAAACACTGGGATTCTATTTGTTTATTGTATACCAGATACTTTGTGAGTATAGTTGCTGACTCCTCTTCCACTTGGGGTTTGGAGAAAAAGTCTCAATACTAATGTAATAGTGAAAGGCGAGTGACTAACTGATCTAGTGCATAAGATTAGTGATTCAAAAACAACGTGGAATTAATTTCCATGAGTCAACAACATCAATGTGTCAGTTCAGTATCAGGAGAGACATACAAGCTATCAAATATTTTTCATTACTATATCACTAATAGCATGAAAAGCTCAGACCTAGGATTTCCCAAAGTAAAATTACAAAAATAATTCTCCTTCTGCCTAATTTCTCATTTTTTTTAGTAGAAACACAAATGCAAACAAGGTAATGTTCTATACATAAAATGATTCTATAATTTATACTTTTAGTCAAATATTAGTATCCTATAAATTATTGCCTGGACTGATAAAGTATGAAAATAGATGATCAGCTTGAATTCTCTGCAAAGCAGTAATTCCACATCAAGATTGTAGACAAGGTTATGAATTTAACTATCGACCCTTTTCAAAAGAGTGTCTGCTGACGTGGCAGTCAGAGCAGGTGAATACAGATGCTCTTTAAGATTCCAAAGTTTACATCATATAAATTAGGAAACATTATACAATACTAGCAAAGACAGTTTCTGTTATAACTAAGAGGGCAAGGCTTTTCTGAATCAGATGTCATAAATTACTGAGTAATGGTTACAAAAAAATAATTACTAAGTAATAAAGGATACATGCTGGTTTTCTAAAATAAGCAAGTTTTACTTTTACTGGTCAGATTGTCTGTAATCTTTTTCTATTAACACACAATTTGGCTGTTTTCATATACTATATACTTATTTTCATTCTCTTTCTGTGGGTGATTAAAAACAGAATATGGTGGATAAAAGCATTGTCCAAACTTCACTGCTAATTTCAATACATGGATGATGGTGTATATACTAGATACTAGGGATAGTAATAAAATACTTGCAAGTTCTACATATTAATGCTGATAACTCTAATATGGTACAAATACACGCCCATACTTTGTGACTCTTATGGTGGAATAACCACTGTGTCCATATTGACTAAACTCAATGTGCTGTCTGGAGAGGGAAGGATATTATAATCACAAATAGACTCAGTTAAACTGAGTCATGAAAAACCATATATATTTTTTAAGTTTTAAGAATTCTTCCAAAACTAATAAAGGCAGTGATTTACTGATAGTATTTAGTCTGTGAGATTGTGGCATATGTCGAAACAACCTTCTCAATGATGATGAGATCTTTTTCACCAAATATAGCAAAGAGTTCATTTGATTTTTGATACTCTTAACATATTCCAAAGTATCAAAGATGTCAAACAGAACATACAATCTAAACCAAAAATGTGAAATACAAATGACCTATCACAAAGAGCTGCAAATATAATCTCAGCCAATATTTATATCACAAAAGGTGTCAAGTCAATCATATTAGAGGATTTCATGATTTAACTGGACTTCCTGCAACTTCATGATATTGATTTATTTTGACTACAGAAAATAAGTGCCAGAGCATATGTGTCTAAGTTACAGGTTCCATATCACCTAGGAGGGAACCATAGCTACATCAGAAACGTTTTAACAGTTATATTTTAAAAGTTAGAACTGTGTATAATAAAGAAAGCAGCAACCAGGGATAGTACCACACCATAAATATGAAAGCTATATATTATATTCAATAAATATAATAAGAATGGAAGAAGAAGAAAAATGAGTCTTGTAAAATATGAAGACACTATAGCACTCCTTAATAATACAACTGGAAATTCTACCTTAGCAAGTATAAAAATAGTAAAGAAATATGCAACTTCAAGCTCTTCGCACTAGTGATGAGTATGCGATATATCAATGTATATATTTAGCCAGTGGTCATTAGATGTCACCGTGCTTAAACACATCTGATACTCATGCATTGCCTTATAGGCTAAAAACGTCAGAGGTAGGTAACCTCAGTTGGAAAGATATATAATGTCAGATTCACCTGAGAAAAGCCATTTCCCTAAGATAGAAATTTACCTCAATAATCCTATAACCCAAAACACTTGGCATAGTAGCAGAAATGTTGCCTTAGTGTTCTAGTTTCATCTAATTGTGACCTTTGTCTTTCATGTACCACTCAAATCATTTTCTATTTTTTTTCCATTGGTGTAATTTTAACAAGATTCTAAAATATTTCAGGTGAAATTAGTAACATCCAATT